AACATTAAATTTGAAAAATGCTAAAACGCGTCCAAACCGTCGATGGTAAAACCTGACCTTCGATGGGTCATTGATGATCATCAATTGACCATTGATGATCATTGATGGTTACTTGTAGTCTATCGATTATTTAAAGTTTGGTTTCTGGAAGTTACAGATTATTAACTGTAGTACATCGATGATTGAAGCTATCATCGATGGTTGCTGTAGTCCATCGATAGTTCGATTTCTCATTTCTGAAAAATACACATTGTTTATTATAATCTATCAGTGACTTGTGTGACCATCGATGGTGTCTTGAGACCATCGAGGGTTCAAGGCTGAAATCAAGTATTTGTGTTGATTTCTACATTGTTTTGAACCACAACTTGTTCATATATGTTTATTCCTGAAATATATCATCTCACAAACTAATTAGTAGCAAATGAGAGTTTGTTATTAATCAAACAAGATATATATTGCATACTCCGAACAATGTTTTAACACTTGGAGTATAACTCATAGACAGCTTACCAATTCGTCTAGATCCTGTTAGGTACATTCATGTGCTTTTCAACACTAAGATAAACATAAACTTTATATATTACCACTTGATTATATTCTCATCTTACTAGCTGAACTGTAGCCATACGGCATGCGAACACTTCAAAGAAATAGTACAAAACAAAGTTAACAAATCTCTTCTTGTGCCATCCCCACTCAATCCATGGCTTCTAGTGCACCCCTTCTTCATCCCTTTCTATGCCACCAGCCACATGCTCCCTTTCCTCGACACCGCCTTCCTCTTCTCCACTCGACCTGACAACGAACCTGTTAGATAGCAAGTTCCTAATATATTTCCTAATTTATTTTTGGTAGTAGGTTATTAGGATTCCTAATCTGTTTTATTTTTTGTTTTAGAATTCCTAGTATGCTTATGATTTTAGGATTTCTATATATATGGAACAATTGGAAGAGAAAATTAAGAAGAAAATTGGAGATATTTAGAGCACAGAAAAGAGGCATTTTCTGAGCTATTGGTTAGGGTTTTGTTTGGAGAGAATTAGAGATTTGTTGGTGAGATTAATTGGTGAGTTTGAGTGATTTATAATCTCAGTTTGTACTCTTCTTCTCTATTAGTGAAAAACTCTATCCCATTCTTACCCCGTGGACGTAGGCAACTTGCCGAACCACGTTAAAATTAGTTGTTTGTGTTTGTGGCATTGATTTAGTTTGTTTGGTCTTCTCTCGATGTTCGTTTGATTTGATTTCTTGTAGCATGTTGGTTTGGTTGTTTGTCTTCCGCAGCGCTCAACAAGTGGTATCAGAGCTCGGATTACGCTTGAGCTATTTGGAGGAGTAGGTCATTTTGGAGGCTCGCCTAGGGCTTCGTTTGGTGATAAAGGTGGGATTTTTTGGTAAAGATTCTATCTTTTTTAGTTTTGAATCTATTCTTTATTTGTTCTGTATTTGTTTTGGATTTTTTGGTAAAGATTCTATCTTTTTTAGTTTTGAATCTATTCTTTATTTGTTCTGTATTTGTTTTGGTGCTTTGAGAAAGATGGTCGGGAAAGAAGGAGTTGTGGAGGGTACTTCCGGCGTGAAGACCGTTCAAAGTTTGAATATCCACTCTATGAAGATAGATTTGAAGAAGTTTAATGATACAAACAATTTTGATCTTTAGAGATGTAAAGTCTTAGATGCGCTCAATGTGCAAAATTTGGAAGATAATTTGGAGTTAGACGAAAAACCGAACGACATTGAGGAGAATGTTTGGAAAAAGATGAATAGAATAGCGTGTGGTGTGATTAGACCTTGTTTGACTCAAGATTTAAAATATGATATGATCAATGAAACTTTGGCTAAGAAGATTTAGGAGATCCTAGTGGGCAAGTATTTGACCAAGAGTGTAGAGAACCGCTTGCATTTGAAGAGGAAGCTTTATCACTTCCAATTGAAGAAGGGGACCTCCATTTGTGATCACATAAACCACTACACGAAGCTTCTTGCGGATTTGGTGAATGTAGATGTGATGATTGAAGATGAGTACAAGGTGTTGTTGTTGTTGAGTTCCTTGCCTGACGAGGAATATGAGATATTTGTTCTTACTCTTATTAATGGGAAGACATCTCTTTCTTATAGTGAGGTCACCGCTGCACTTGTAAATTATCAGCTTCGAAAGAAGGATAAAGAGACTTCAGTTGAGCCAGTAGCGGGGGCATTGGTCGCAAGAACAAAAAGTTCAAACTGTGGTAGGAGGTCAAAGTCTAGAAGGGCACATCTTGGAGTACGTAGGAATCAGTGTGTTTTTTGTAAAGAAGATGGACATTGAAAAGTCAAATGCCCAAAGTTGGTTGATCGGACCGGGAAGAATAAGGAGAAAGCTATTCAAGCTTTAGAGATGAATGTTGTCAAGGCTAGTGGAAATAATTCAGATTCAGATTTTTCGGGCTACTCGTTATCTACACTATCGTCAGTTTGTGTTACCGACACTACAGAGTGGATGTTGGATTTGGGTGCTTCTTACCATATTTTCCCTAGGAGGGATTGGTTCTCTAACTTTCAGGAGTTAGAAAGATGGTAGGTCATGCTCAAGGGTAATGATCATGAATATCCTATTGGTGGTATTGGTACCGTTCGGATTAGGATGAGTGACGGAGTGATTCGGGAGTTTGTTGGAGTGAGGTTCGTTCCTCAGTTGAAGAAGAACATTATTTTACTTAGAGTTTTGGAGGCAGCAGGCTATAGGATGACCTTGGTCGATTCACGTTTGAAAGTCACACTGGGGTCCATGATTGTGATGAAGGGCGTCAGGAGGAATAATTTATATTATTTGATTGGGAGCACGCTGTTTGATAGAGAGCTAACGACTTCTTTGGATTTGGCTAGACTATGGCATTTGTTGAGGCTGGGTTATTTGATTGGTTATGTCGTGCATGGTTTGTTGAGGAGTGCTTTGACCCACAGATTGAAGTCCTTTGAGCACATTGGTATGAGCAAGAAGATCGATGTGGAGTTTGGCACTTTTATCCATCGATCGATGGGTCTTTTAGGTGGTGTTCAGTTAGGCATTTTGGGGCCTTCCAAGGAGGCATCATTAGGAGGTAATCGATATTTGGTTTCTGTAGTTGGAGATTGTTCTAGACATTGGTGGGTTACAACCAGGTCCCGTTAGTGTAAAGTCCTAGAAGTCAACAACAATTGGAAGAAGTGTATTGGTAGAAAGGTAACTCATCGTTCTAGCTTTTGGTAGGGGTTCTTTCTTGTATTTGTGCCGAGCTCATGGCAGTTTGAGACACTTCATTGATGTGGAGACATTAGGGCGACGAGATGAGATGACAGTTTTGATGGGTCGTTCCTTACTGGAGGGGGATCGATGTTGGTTGTCGAGCATTGATTTTGATTTTGGAGCTTCGATATATTTGGGTCATCTTGGTCATAGGTTGTCGACTGCTGTATGTGGAAATTTTGGATCTGGTGGAGCTGCTTCAGATTTTGGGTTGCGTCGGATATTTGGTTGCCCGGTATTTGGTCACATCGAGGATGTGAGATTTAATCCGATTGCACGTTTGGGATTCAGAGGTTCGTTTGATTATCAGTTAGGAGCTTTTGATTTTGTTCTGAGCAGGTATGTCACATTTGACTCTCGGCAGGTGGAGAGTGTTGATCAGATCATTGGGATAGCGGGTGGAGGGTGATGCTACTTCACATTTGGTGAAGATTACTCCACATACTCTAGATCATACTGCATTGTGGCAGGTGGAGAGTGTTGATCAGATCATTGGGATAGCGGGTGGAGGGTGATGCTACTTCACATTTGGTGAAGATTACTCCACATACTCCAGATCATACTGCATCATTTAGGATTCTAGCTGAGGTGACATAGTTTGGAGATCATTTGAATTTAGATGCAGATGATGAGTTGGTTTTGGATACGAGTGTAGCCGGTGGGCATGTTTTGAATACAGCCATTGGTTCACCTCAGGTGGAGGTGTTTGATTTATTTCAGTTTGGGGCCATTAAGAGCGTTATCAGTTGCAAATCCGTTGGTGATATTGATGAAGAGTTGCAAACTTTTCTATTTGATTGAGGGTCTTTGGAGGCCGTTTGGGTGAACTACGTGAATGCTTTATTCCTTTGACAAGAGGATACATAGGCAGTCATTTATGATACAGCCAATTTGGTGAGTTGATATGACATTTGGAGTTTGTTCGCATTCTCGTTTGGGTTCTCGACTTGTTGTGGATTGAGTCCGTTGTCGTGGATTTCTTTCACTTTGTACTAGACACAACAAGTAAGACGTTTGGTTGGTATTAGTGTCAGCTCAATTTTGGAAAAACTTCGCCGATGTGGAGAATTGTTGGATAGCAGGTTCCTAATATGTTTCCTAATTTATTTTGGTAACATGTTATTAGAATTCCTAATCTATTTTTTTTATTTTAGAATTCCTAGTATGTTTATGATTTTAGGGTTTTTATATATATATAGAACAATTGGAAGAGAGAATTGAGAAGAAAATTAGGGATATTTGGAGCACATAAAAGATGTATTTTCTGAGCTATTGGTTAGGGTTTTGTTTGGAGAGAATTAGAGATTTGTTGGTGAGATTAATTGGTAAGTTTGAGTGATTTTTAATCTCAGTTTTTACTCTTCTTTATTAGTGAAAAACCCTATCCTCTTCTTACTCCGTGGACGTAGGCAACTTGTCGAACCACGTTAAAATTGGTTGTTTGTTTTTGTGGCATTTGATTTGGTTCGTTTGCCCTTCTCTCGATGTTCGTTTGATTTGATTTCTCATAGCATATTGGTTTGGTTGTTTGGCTTCCGCAGCGCTCAATCTGGAGTACTACTCATAGACAACTTATCAATTCGGCTAGATCTTGTTAGGTACATTCATGGGCTTTTCAACACTAAGATAAACATAAACTTTATATATTACCACTTGATTAGATTCTCATCTTACTAGCTGAACTGTAGTCATACGGCATGCGAACACTTCGAAGAAATAGTACAAAACAAAGTTAACAAATCTCTTCTTGTACCATCCTCACTCAATCCATGGCTTCCAGTGCACCCAAGCTCAAAGTCTTCTTCATCCCCTTCTACGCCACCGGCCACATGCTCCCTTTCCTCGACCTCGCCTTCCTCTTCTCCACTCGACCTGACATCGAAACCACCCTCCTAATCACGGCGGCCAACGCCTCGCTCCTCCAGCCGACCATCGACAGCTATGGCCAACGCATCAAGCTCCTTCTTTTCCCCTTCCCCTCTGCCGAATCCGGTCTCCTCCCTGGCCAAGAGAACGTCTCCTCCATCCCCTATGCCGACATCTACAAGATGTGCACTGCCGCTGACTTCTCCCGCGACCCGATCGAGACCCTCCTCCGCCTCCACAGCCCGGACGCCGTAGTCTCCGACATCTCGTTCTCGTGGATGTCTTCGCTCGCTAGCGAGCTCGGCATCCCCAACGTCATCTTCCACGTCATCGGCGTGTTCCCTCAGCGAGTCATGGATGCCCTCCATCGAGCTCGCTTATATGACACAGAGGACACCTCCGACGAGGCCATCACAATCCCCAACCTCCCGGGTGAGAAGCAAATTACAATGCCTAGATCGGAGCTTCCGTGGTTCGTGCGGAAGCCGACGCAGCTCACCCACCACTGGGCGAGGATGAAGGCAGCAAACGCGGAGAGCTTCGGTGTTGTGGTAAATACGTTCTGCGAGATGGAGCCAGAGTTCTGCGAGGAGTACCGGAGGACGGTGTGTCGAAAGGCGTGGTTTGTGGGTCCCGTTGCGCTCGCAGCAGCAAGAGCCGGCGGAAAGAAGGCGGCGGTGGCGGGGCGGAAAACGAGACGGCTCCGTCGTGTATGTTTGTTTCGGGAGTTGGTGCAACTTTACCAAGCAACAACTGGCGGAAATTGCCTCGGGACTGGAGAAGTCCGGGAAGGAGTTTTTATGGGTGGTAAGGGGATTGAAGGACGGTACGGTTACCGGGGAGGAGTGGATCCCGAACGGTTGTGAAAAGAGGGTGGAGGGGAGGGGGTTGATGGTGAGGGGATGGGCCCCACAGACGGCGATACTGGCCCACAAGGCCGTCGGAGGATTCATGACACAATGCGGATGGAACGCGGTGCTGGAGTCAGTGGCGACTGCAGGGGTGCCGTTGTTGACGTGGCCGCTGGTGTTTGAGCAGTACATGAACGAGAGGCTGGTGGTGGAAGGTGTTGGGAGGGAGGGGTTAGAGTTCGTAGCGCGTCGTAGGAGCACGATGGATAAGGAGAGGGTGGTGGTGCCCGCGGAGGTGATCGAGAAGGTGGTGTTCCGATTCATGGGCGGCGAAGGTGGGGCGGTGAGATCGAGGGTGAAGGAGTTGGCAAAGATGGCGTGTTGTGCGGTGGCGAAGGGCGGAGGGTCGCGGAATGATTTCGACTGTTTGATCGGTGAGCTTATGGCGACAAAGGAACTCCAGATGAAAAAGGAACACGAGCATGCTAACTAAATAAGACCGTAGTCGGATTAGTGTAGATTGCGGTGACTTGGTTTCACTTTTCATTGGTAATCTGTGTGAGTTGTTAATCAGTCCGGATTGGTAGTTTGAATCCTAGTTAGTGGATAGAATTCTAGTTAGAATAGAATACTAGTTAGTAGATAGTTCTCTAGTTATTGGATAAGATTAGAGTTGTAATCTTAGTCCTTATATATATGTAAACAACCTATATGGTTTTAAGAACGTGAATAAAAACTTCAGAATAATTTCCTGCTCCTGTTGGTTCTCTCCTCTCTCTGTCTACAGGTTTTCTTTTGTGTTCGGTCCCAAAGAAAAGTTCCCAGGTTCGGTTTTCTTTGTAAACAAGTGCAGGTTCTGTTTTCTCCCTGCAGTCTCTCCATCAACAATTCTTCGGGTTCATCAACAGGGGCAGAAACTTAGAAAAGTTTCCTGCAGAACATCTCATGTCTTTGCTGCAGTTCAGTCTCAAGAAATCTGCCAGGTTCGGTTGCTACAGTATTTCCAGATTTTCTCAAATCAGTTTCAGATCTGATTCAGGCCGATCCTATTCTCAAAGCCAACAAGTGGTATCGGGTTGTTAATTGTTGGAGATGTTTTCCTTATATCAAAATTAATTATTATTTCTAATATTATGTCATATTGTGATGACCTCTTGATTCCCCTTGGTCAAGCATGCATCGATGAATTACACAAGGCTCAAGACGTGTAGGATGCCATTGAACCCGCGGCAGGCGCGTCCGTGGAACACAGGAAGGATCAGATGGCGTTGGCGGCCATCTACCAGGGGATTCCTAAAGAGACTTTGATGGTGATCGCAGAGAAGCAAACGGCAAAAGAGGCATGGGAGACGTTGAAAACTATGCACCTAGGAGCAGATCGTGTGAGGAACGCGAAGGTGCAGACCTTGAAGTCCGAGTTCGAACTTCTCCGGATGAAGGAGAATGACAACGTCGACGATTTTTCGACGAAGTTGACAGGAGTCGTCAACAAGATCCGGGCTTTAGGCGGCGAGATGGAGGAGAACTACGTCGTCAGAAAGCTACTTCGGGCGGTACCGGAGAGATTCCTTACTATCGTCTCCACGATTGAACAGTTCGGGGACATCGACGACATGACACTCGAGGAGGCGATCGGGCGTCTCAAAGCCCACGAGGAGAGGGCACGTGTTTTTCGAAACAACGTCGACGATCACCTATTGTTGACGCATGCGGAGTGGCAAGCAAGGAGCAAGAAGAACGGCGGAGGCTTCCTCTCAACACCTACAACCAATGATGGTAGCGGACGAGGTCGCGGTCGAGGAGCCGGTCGCGGACGAGGGCGTGGCCAAAGAGGCCGAGGCGGACAGCAGCACCACGGCAGCGGGCAGCAGCACCACGCTACCCAGGCAGGCCGCGGAGGGGAGCACGGCGGCCAGGCAGGCCGAGGCGGCTTCGGCGGCAGAGGAGGACGTCCAGGAGGTGGTTTCGGCCATGGAGGTGCAGCTCGCCAGGAGGGGGAGAGTAGCACAAGCGGTGGTCGAGACAAATCCAACATCAAATGCTTCAATTGCGGAGTATACGGGCACTTTCAGTCGGAGTGTCACAAGCAACGCCGCAACCATGAACAGGAGGCTCATCTCACCCGTGCATATGACGAGGAGCCAACCTTGATGATGGCTATGTTAGAGGAATCGTCAAGTGCTATTTTGCTTAATGAGGAGAAGGTGGTGCCGGATTTACTTACAGCGGGGGAGGCACATGTTGACAACAACATTTGGTACCTTGACAACGGAGCTAGCAATCACATGACCGGCCACCGAGACAAGTTCAAGGAGCTCGACGAGAACATCAAGGGAACCGTCAAGTTTGGTGATGGATCCGCGGTAGAGATCAAGGGGAAAGGCTCTATCCTCTTTCAGTGCAACAACGGCGATCAAAGGCTACTACCTGAGGTATATTATATTCCAAGTTTGAAATCTAACATTATTAGCCTTGGTCAGATGACTGAAGATGGAAGCAACGTTGTGATTTCTGGTGAGTTCCTGAGGGTGTTTGATAGGAACGGTGCTCTCTTGATGAGGGTGAAACGTTCATCTAACCGATTGTACAGGATAGAATTAAAGACTTGCAAGCCGGCGTGTTTGATGGCGAACATTAACGATCCAGCTTGGTTATGGCATGCTCAAATTTCAGAGCTCAGAAGCCGCTGGAGTTACTACATGCTGATCTATGTGGTCCTATCACCCCATCTACGCTTGCTGGGAACAACTACTTCCTCCTTATCGTTGATGATTTCAGTCGATGGATGTGGGTATACATGTTGAAGGCCAAGAGTCAAGCTTGTGAAACCTTCAAGAAGTTCAAAACAGAGGTTGAGAATGCATGTGACCACAAGGTGAAGACATTGAGGACGGATCGTGGTGGCGAGTTCTTGTCAAAGGAGTTCACCAAGTTTTGTGAAGACTACGGCATCAAGCGTCATCTCACTGCACCGTACACCCCGCAGCAAAACGGTGTAGTGGAGAGGCGTAATCGCACGGTGATGGACATGGCGAGGAGCCTACTTAAGAGCATGCATATGCCTGGAACCATGTGGGGCGAAGCGGTTAGGCACGCGGTGTACATCCTCAACCGACTACCAACCAAGGCGTTGTACGATCACACTCCCTACGAAGCTTGGTTTGGTAAGAAACCCCACCTAGAACACTTGAGAGTTTTTGGATGTATGGCGCATGTGAAGATTGCAGGTCCTTCGCACAAGAAACTCGACGATAAGATACGTGTCAGCAGGGATGTCGCGTTTGAGGAAGGAAAAGAGTGGGAATGGAGCGCCGATGGAGTCGAAAGATCACCTAACTGGACGGAGTTCACAGCGGAAGAGGAGAATGCAACGGTCGGCGAATTTCCAGCCGTCCAAGCTGGACAAACTGCAGCCCGAACAGGGGCTGCTGCTGTCCGAATACCTGCTGCTGCTGCTGCAGGCCGAACAGCCCCTGCAGGAGCCCATACCGCAGCGGAGATGACCGGAGACGAGCCTGGACAGCCGGCACATCGAACAGCTCCTACAGGAGCTGCTGCTGCTGGCACTGCTGCAGGACGAACACCCGCGGCTGCTGGCACTGCTGCTGGCCGAACCAGTTTGCAGCAGGGTGCTGCTACAGACCGAGGATGCTCCGGCTTCTGGCACTGCAGCTGGCCGAAACAGTCCACAAACCCTCGCAGGTTCAGGAACTGCAGCAGTCACAGAAAGCCCCATTGCATTGGAGCTGTCCGGACCCCCTGAAGCTGCTGTGTTGACTCCCGTACGCTATCGATCCCTCGCAGACATCTATGCGGAAACGGAGGTGGTTGATCTCCCAGTAGAGGAGTTGTTCCTGATCTCTGAAGAACCTGCGAACTATCTCGAGGCTGCATCAGATCAAGAATGGAGGACAGCGATGGAGAAGGAGATGGAGGCCATCGAGAAGAACAAGACTTGGATACTCACGGAGTTACCGCGGGGTTCCAAACCCATTGGTCTCAAATGGGTATACAAGCTGAAGAAGGACAATGAAGGCAACATTCTCAAGCACAAAGCAAGACTTGTAGCAAAAGGGTACGTCCAGCAGCAAGGCGTGGACTTTGATGAGGTGTTTGCACCTGTGGCGAGGCTTGATACCATCAGAATAATCCTCGCCATATCAGCACAGAATGGGTGGGAGGTGCACCATCTGGATGTGAAGTCGGCATTCCTAAATGGTGATCTCCAGGAAGAAGTTTATGTGGTTCAACCTGAAGGGTTCGTTGTGAAGAATCAGGAGCACAAGGTCTACAAGCTTTCAAAGGCACTCTACGGTCTACGCCAAGCACCTCGGGCATGGAACACGCGCCTCGACAAGTGCATGAAGGGCATCGGATTTGCAAGATGCACTCTTGGCATCGAGGTGGATCAGCGAGATGATTGTATTGCACTAAGGCAGGCGGCCTATGCGAAGAAGGTTTTGGGTCAGTTCGGCATGATGGATTGCAACTCGACACAATATCCTATGGAAGCAAAGCTAAAGCTTGGAAAGGATTCTGAAGGAACACCGATGGACGTGACGGAGTATAGACGAATTATCGGATGCTTAAGGTATCTAACTCACACCCGACCCGATATCACATATGCCGTGGGGATTGTGAGTAGGTACATGGAGCACCCTACAGTTTTGCATCGACAGGTTGTCAAGCATATTTTGAGGTACGTGAAGGGTACTATGTCCTACGGATTGGTGTACAAACGAGGTCGAGGCAATGAAGAGTTGGTGGGATTCACTGACAGTGATCTTGCGGGAGATGTTGATGACAGGCGCAGCACAGGCGGCATGGCATTTTATCTAGGTGACAGTTTGGTCACTTGGACATCACAGAAGCAGAAGACAGTGGCATTATCATTCTGCGAGGAAGAATTTATGGCGGCAACTGCAGCAGCGTGCCAAGGCTTGTGGTTAAGGAGTTTAATCAGCGAGGTGATTGGGAGTGAGCCCAAGCCGGTCACACTCTTCGTCGACAACAAGTCAGCGATTGCCTTGATGAAGAATCCAGTTTTCCATGGAAGAAGCAAGCATATCGACACACGTTTTCACTTCTTCGTGAGTGTGTTGAGCGAGGACAGATTAAAGTGGAGTTCGTGAGCACGAGCGAGCAGCGAGCGGATATTCTCACGAAGGCACTAGCAAGGGTGAAGTTCATCGAGATGCGGGAGCTTCTAGGAGTAAGGGACTTAGAGTCTAGTCCAGATTAAGGGGGAGAATGTGAGTTGTTAATCAGTCCTAGTTAGAATAGAGAATTCTAGTTAGAATAGAATACTAGTTAGTAGATAGTTCTCTAGTTATTGGATAAGATTAGAGTTGTAATCTTAGTCCTTATATATATGTAAACAACCTATATGGTTTTAAGAACGTGAATAAAAACTTCAGAATAATTTCCTGCTCTTGTTGGTTCTCTCCTCTCTCTGTCTACAGGTTTTCTTTTGTGTTCGGTCCCAAAGAAAAGTTCCCAGGTTCGGTTTTCTTTGTAAACAAGTGCAGGTTCTGTTTTCTCCCTGCAGTCTCTCCATCAACAATTGTTCGGGTTCATCAACAGGGGCAGAAACTTAGAAAAGTTTCCTGCAGAACATCTCCTGTCTTTGCTGCAGTTCAGTCTCAAGAAATCTGCCAGGTTCGGTTGCTACAGTATTTCCAGATTTTCTCAAATCAGTTTCAGATCTGATTCAGGCCGATCCTATTCTCAAAGCCAACAATCTGTACCGGGTTGTTAATTGTTGGAGATGTTTTCCTTATATCAAAATTAATTATTATTTCTAATATTATGTCATATTGTGATGACCTCTTGATTCCCCTTGGTCAAGCATGCATCGATGAATTACACTCACCATGCCACTTCATGAATTACATTAACTTCTAATTTGCATTCAATGACAAAATTACAACCATCGAACTAAACAAATTATCAGCCATCAATAAGTTAGTGGCATCTCCACTGAACCGTTGGGGCAAGAAAATAACCCGTCGTGACAATTTGCGTTGGGGAAAAGTTTGCCCCAACGGTTGTTTTATCAGCACCAACGGTTCAAACCGTTGGTGCTGATATTTTTTAAATTTAAATTAGTAAAAAAAAAAAAAAAATGCCCCAACGGTTCCAACCGTTGGTGCAACATTCTACAACAACGGTTAAAACCGTTGGTGCAAACAACTTGCACCAACGGTTCCAACCGTTGGTGCAACATTCTGCACCAACGGTTGAAACTGTTGGTGCAAGTTGTTTGCACCAACGGTTTCAACCGTTGGTGCAGAATGTTTACACCTGTACAAAAACGTGCACTATTTGTGCACATTATCAACCTGCTCATAGCAATATTAATCAACCTGTTTATAGCAATATTCCCATGCAATTATACAACCAAAAACATAAATGTCATAAAATGAATTCAAGATCCTAACACTACCATACGCAATTATAAGCCAAAACAAAAAATTTACTAAAATGAAAAGCGAGTAGTACTTTTTAAACTAATTAAATCACAAACATAAAGAATATCCAAAATACAATGTCTCAAATATCTAAAAAGTGCAAGTCACTGCTGACTAAATTGAAGAAAATCAACAAAAGCCTTGCGGACGTCGTCCTCGCCGTAATCCTCCTGCGTTAAGCCCCTTATCAAGCCCCCCAGTCGACTTGTAATATGATTTTGTGTTGAAATATCCTGAGGAGAATGCTGAGCAGCAGAAGTAGAACCATGAGCATCTGGAGAAGGCTGAGCAGAAGCTGAACCCTGAGCACCAGCCGAACCCTGAGCACCAGGAGAAGGCTGAGCAGAAGGTGGATGAGCGGTATGATAATTAACCTGTAAAGTATAAGTAATGATATTTAGAGGGCACGTTCAGATGAATCTCACACAAATTTGTTATCCACATATGAAAACATGGTACTGATTTTCATAGCCCATTGCGGATTTCTATCAGAATTTAGCAGGTGCCACACTCTACTGAATGTTCCATTTACGTTACCCGTTATCTTTCGAATACTAGTTTGCTCGGCATAATTACATTAACGTCTCCTCTTATTAATCTTGTACTCTTCCATGTACGCGTATGCCTCGACTAAAGCATCCAGTTGATTTTAGTCTTTAGTTTCAAGAGTGAATCACAAATCCAAGGCGTAAACACTAAAGTTGGCTAACAGTAACTGGAGTAATGGACTCTCATGTTTCTTCTATCTACAATCAATTTTGACTAAAATCTTGCAGTTAGTAGTATGCTTTCCTCTACGTCTGAATTGAAATAACTTTAGCTATTCCCTTTTACTGTGAAAATAAAGAATGTTGCAGAAAACTGAAGGTATATCAGCCTGTAAAATCATTGCCCTTCTATGGATTTGCGTATTAAACAAGGATGTTGGGATCTAGTACTTTTAAGGCCCACGTGATGCTAAGTTTCCGCTAAACTCAGGACTTATTAATTTACACGGATTGAATCATAGTTATGGATATAAAAGTCAGATATATTACATTATACTTTTAGGATCAGTTTCACTTCCCTTTTGAAGATAATTGTGAGTTTTATATATGATAAACTATCTTGCAATGTGAGAAATAAACTTCTGAAATCAGCTTCCTAAATTAAATACATTGTTATTATCATGTACTCTCTTCAAAATTTATTCCTTTTAATTTAATTAACCAACTGAATTGAAAATAAATTTATATTAAATTAACCATATATACGTACAAGCTGGGTTAGTCGTTCCATCTTGGCCTTAAGCTCCGCCATCTCACGAAGCACATCAGGAGGAGTAGCGAAGGTCGGAGTGGAGGAAGTCTTCAAATAAAATCTAGTGACACCGTGACCCAAACCTCTCTCATAACCACCATGATGCCCTCCATGTACATCATCTAAGACTGTGGTCATTGCAGTAGATTTGGGTTCTCGATCGACCCCTAATGATTTGGCCTTTTCGATCACCCGAGCCTACACCACATAAAGTATTCAAATATTAAGTCAACAATATTATTATAAGCATATTCAAGAAAAAAATTTCAATTAGTCAAAAGCATAACACTTACACAATACTCTTGAGTTTGGGTGTCGGGATATGTACATGAATATGTATCAGCTCCTGGATCGACTAAAGTCGCATGGGTACCTAAATACTCCTTTAATGCACTTGAACTGCCACCCGATTCTTCGATGCGAGCTCTCTGTAATTCACCAAAACATAAATTTGTATAAGATATCATATCATAAATTAATAAATGCATTTTTAAAACTCTTAAGATTAATTTTACCACTCTCTCTTTTGCCCGAACCATACTCCTCGAGCCACCCGTATAGGTTGCTCGACCTCGCTTCTTTGACTCCCGATTATCTTTATTTCTTTTTGCCTCCGCCTGCACAAAAATGTAAGATTTAGATTGTGATCCAAAAATAAGCACATGCCAATCATTGAATTATTTGTTAACCATATACCTGCTTCCTATTAGAAGAAAATAACTTGCAGAGGTCGTCCCACCATCTTTTATCGATCCCTTCGAACACCTCTGTCTTGAAAAGATCATCTCTTTTCTCTTGGGGAGTCTCCAGCCACAGTTCATAACACTCCTTCTTTACCTGATTTCGATTGCCTCGGACTCTCTCCTGCATCTTTATCTTCACGCCTCGATGTATAGCAGGAATATTAAGAGGACAATAAGGATCTACAGGCAAAAACTCATAATCTTTCTGCATATTTAACAAAAAAATACATTAAACACTTTACGTGAATATTGAATAAGATCTTGCTAGTTTTGCAATGACAGAAATAGATTAAAATTGTATTCAAACCTTGGCTTGGAGAAAAAACTTATCAAACGAACGCTCATGATCCGGGCCCCAGTTCTTATAAAGTGGGAAGTCCATGTATTAGCGGCTCTTTTGCCCCACATACTGTCCAAATCTCTCAGCATTAGGGCCCGTAACACGGAAGTACTCATCAAAGTGCAAGGGGAATGCTGGTTCATTCTTCTTAGGATCGGGCATTAATCGATTGGCTTTATTTGAAGATCGAACCTTCTTGGACGTCCGTGGCAAACCTGCATCAAAGTTTTGAAGTTGTATAATGCATGTTATAAAGTTGTGCGTAGGATGGAGAAATTGGAGAGCTCAATTGGTTTCAGAAAACTCTTTGTGCTGTGATTCAGATATGTAGCTAAAGAAAAAACCTGTTGTGATTTTGCATATTTATGATCATGAAAGTAGGTAATTACTGATGAGATGCCTGGCTAAAGAAAAAACATGTTGTTCAACTTTAATAGATCTTTTGTCTCCTAATATTTTCGGACCTCAAACGAATACAGTCAGGTTCCATCACTGTGTTTTCATCTTATTTTCTTGTGGAATGTTGGCACTAAATATTCAAAAGAGCTTATATTTTCCAATCCAGGGCAGAGTCACTTAAGTTGTGCATTTCGTGCTCTGGTATGGTTTATTTAATAATATACTATTATAAGTTTGCCTTTCTTTAAATTTATCGTTTGCTAGAACAAGAGCTCTGTGACCTTCAGTTGGGAGGATTAAGATAGAAGGAAATAGGAATCATATGTTAATTTCACAAGTTGTGAGGCAACATCAAAGGGGACTTTTTCTGAAAAATCGGCATACGATGTGTCTCTCCCAATGAAAATTTATGATGCTCCTTAAAGAGTGAATTTCTCCAAGCATCAATGACTGGAGATGGTGGAAGAGTCACTAATGAAGCATGGTGTTATGGTGGATATGGTTAGTTTCATGATCTCATAGTTCAACTTTCCTCCAAAACCCACGAGAAGGGTGATGTCAATGCGATTATTATCTTAAATTTAGTATTTTTAGGCATAATAACTTAAAACACAGTGCTAAAGGGAAGTTTGAAAATAAGGAGGATGGAGGCAGTAATCGAATATCCATAGTTCTTCAAGAGTAGTTGGAAATTGTATCTAAAAAAATGCATTAAATAAAATCAGATTATGAACTCTATATTTATAAAATATCTTTAATTGTAAAGGAAACAAATATGAGTGGCATAGTATCTATATCCTTTGTTTGTGCTTTTATCCTTATGCTAATTTTAATTTGTGACCAATATTGTAGAAGTCTAAATATAGAAGAAAGTTATGGTATTGTTCACTCGCCTGGAAATCAAGATGTACATGAGAATGGAAAACTGTCGATGGCATATATCTACCTTCTTACAGATGATTGTTTTCACCTGAATATGCTGGTTAACTATACAAGCGGACATTTTTTTATTTATTTTTTATGGCGACCAGAAAATTGTGATCTCGTGGTTTTTTTTCATATGTAGAGGCTTAAAACCACATCCCAGACTTGAATCATCCTGCACATATGGAACTTTCTCAACATGCCTTTGTTTCTCTACTTGACAATTTACTTAAGTGTAGTTTTAAAATGTCAATGAAAATCAACTTTTTTATTTACAAAATCAGTCAACTTTGGGCCATGTTAGCTGCATGGTAAAAGTTAGTTTATTTTTTTACTCTTTAGGTGTTTAAATTGTGCCAGACTTTGGAATCCTCGAGTTTATTTTGTTGGATTTAATCTAATAAATCTAATTATGGACACATAATTAATCAATGTGTATTGCTATCTTTTAGGATAACCCACTAAAGTAATCAATCAAGTTGGGTTAATGGGTATTTAAATAAGTCATGGGGTTATATGTGCAGATACCAAGTTGTAATTATGATTTGTTAAGGGGCCAAATTGCAAATATACAACATCTATAAATAAGGGGTTATGGTCCCTAATCTAGGGTTATATTCTCTAATTCTCTTCACCCCATCTAGAGAGAGAAATTCGGCTATAGAGAAACCCTAAGGTTAGAAGATCCAAAACTCATCTCAAATTTCATTTATGGATTCAGGTATAAGCTTCCGCTCTTTTGATTCTTGTTAATCTCTTTGAATTAATCATTGGCTTATGGTTTTAGATCTCAAGTTTTATGATTCAGATCTAACAAGTGGTATCAGAACCACCTTTGATTAATTCTTAGAGATTTAAGTTCTTAAAATTGGGTTTTTTTATCTTAAAATCTCTGTTTTTGGTTAAGATCTGTTCTCGGATGAACAGTAACATTCGGATGAACATTTACGTTTTTATTTTTTTTTTGATGAACAGTAAAGTATTTTTCCCGGATGAATAGTAACTAAAAAATCATTTGTGAATAGTAACTTTTTAGAATTTTTTGGAATTTTCTTCCATTTTTCTTGGATCTGGTTTTGAAAATAAAAATCGAGGATTATTTTGGGTTTGGTCTTCGGTCCCGCGCTCCTCGCCGGCAAACTTTCGCTGGCGGCCTCGCTGTCAACTCCGACGGCGACGGCGACATCAGGAAACCCTAGGGTTTCGACCTCTTGGGTGCCGGAGCAATGGCGACGGCGGTTTTAGTTTGAAACCCTAAGGGTTCGTGCGATTAATCGTGGCGAAAATTAAGGAGGTGGTTACCTCAACCGAACTTCGCGTTCGTTATAAGGTGAGCGTCGCGCTCAATTTTAACGAACTTCGCGTTCGTTCTCATGTGAGCCTCGCGCTCAACTCAGGTGAGCCTCGCGCTCAATTTTTAACGAACTTCGCGTTCGTTCTCATGTGAGCCTCGCGCTCAATTTTTAACGAACTTCGCGTTCGTTCTCATGTGAGCCTCGCGCTCAACTCAGGTGAGCCTCGCGCTCAATTTTTTAACGAACTCCGCGTTCGTTCTCATGTGAGCCTCGCGCTCAACTCAGGTGAGCCTCGCGTTCAATTTAAACAAACTTAGCGTTCATTCTCAGGTTGAGCCTCGCGCTCAAATTCAAACGAACTTAGCGTTCGTTCTCAGGTGAGCCTCGCGCTCAATTCAAGTTGAGCCTCACGCTCAGTTCTCAGGTGAGAATCGCGCTCAAATCAAACGAACCTTGCGTTCGTTCTAAGGTGAGCCTCGCGCTCAGTTCTAAGGTGAGCCTCACGCTCAAATTATGTCGAACCTCGCGTTCGTTTTCAGTCGAACCTCGCGTTCATTTTTTCAAACGAACCTCGCGTTCGTTCTCAAGTTAAACCATGTGTTCATTTTCAGTCGAACCTCGCGTTCATTTTCAGACGAACCTCGCGTTCGTGCTTAAGTGAGTCTTGTACTCAATACAGTCGAACCTCGCGTTCGAAGTCAAACGAACTTCATGTTCACTATGGTTAAGCCTCGGCTTTTCATGGGTCCACTTTGGTATACTTAATTTATTCAATTAAGTTATGGGACCTAATTAAGCTATGAGACCCCAATTAAGTTTTTTTGGAAATTCAGTTGATTTAAATTAAATTTAAATCTAATTTGGTTTTTAATCAATTATTTAATTCAAATATTATGACACTAAGGTATTAAGGTTATCTCTCACTCCAATTGATTAATTGAAACAAGAAATTGCCAAAGTAACATCTCTTGTGTAGATTGTTCAAGAGGAATGTGAGATGTTTTGTGTGTATGCTTTCGTGTAAATATTTAATCGGCCCAAAGGAAGGTTAATATTTATTTAGACTGTATACACATCTGCAATAATAAGCATGTGACAATTATAAGGTTTACATGTGAATAATGAATCGATCCAAAGATAGTTTCATTATTTGACATGAGTTATTATCAATGTTTGATCATTGCAACAAGGTATCACTTACAAGTTAATATTACTGTCCAAAGACATGATATTAATGTTGTGCCAGATATCTTGAGATGGGATTCGTCATTATTTGAATTTTATTGATTAATAATTATGGTTATTGATGTGAGCATTTTTGTTTTATTTCAGCTAATGCATCTGCTGCAACAATTTCTGCTAACATCAACTCAATTCCCATGCTAAATGGGACAAATTTTAAGGTTTGGAAAGAGAACATATTAATTGTTCTTGACTGCATGAATCTTGACTATGCATTAAGAACTGAACAACCCCAACCTCTCAATGTGGATAGCACTCCTGATGCAAAGAAGGAGTATGAAAAATGGGAGCGTTCAAATCGCATGAGTCTTATGATCATTAAGCGCGGCGTTCCGGAAGCCTTCAGGGGCATAGAATCCGAAGGGATTACTAAGGCTAAAGATTTCCTTGCCGAAATTGAGAAGCGTTTTGCGAAAAACGATAAGGTAGAAACAAGCACGCTCTTAGCTCGCTTGATTTCAATGAAGTATAAGGGCAAAGGAAATATCAGGGAGTACATTATGGAAATGTCTCATATTGCTTCAAAGCTTAAGGCACTTAAACTCGATCTTTGTGACGAGTTATTAGTGCATCTGGTTTTGTTGTCTCTTCCTGCACAGTTTAACCAATTTAAGGTCAGTTATAACTGTCAAAAGGAGAAATGGACTCTAAATGAGCTCATTTCATACTGTGTGCAAGAAGAAGACAGGTTGAAGCAAGATAAGACAGAAAGTGCTCATTTGGCCTATGCCTCTAAGGATAAGGGCAAGAAAAGGAAGAATGATAAGGAAGCTGCTAAGGGTCCAGTTGAGAAGAAACAACATAAGGATAATCAGGGTTGTTTCTTCTGTAAGAAGCCTGGACATGTAAAGAAGGACTGTACAAAATATCACGCCTGGCGTGATAATAAGGGTACGTTCCTTGCTTTGGTCTGTTCTGAGGTTAATTTAGCTTCAGTACCTAGAAACACTTGGTGGTTAGACTCTGGTGCTACTACTCACATAAGTGTTTCTATGCAGGGTTGCCTGAGCTACCGAAAGCCAAGTGATGTTGAAAGACACATCTTTGTGGGCGACGGACAATCGGTAGATGTGGAAGCAATTGGGCACTTTAGGTTGTTGTTAGGAACTGGTTATTATTTGGATTTAAAAGATACTTTTGTAGTACCGTCTTTTAGACGGAATTTGGTTTCTGTTTCTGTAT